TCTCTCTCTCTCTCTCTCTCTCTCTCCCCCCTCCCTGTGTTTTTCTCTAACTCTTCATTTTCTACTGTAAAAATCACCTCCCCTTTCTCTCAATCACTTCATCTCTGTCTATTTCCCACTCCCCCCTCCTTTCTCTTTCTTCTCCTTCACTGGTACACCCCCCTCCTCCTTTTCTCTCCATCACTCCATCCTTTCTCTTTTTTCTCCTTCACTGGTACAATCCCCTCCTCCCCTTTCTCTCCATCACTCCATCTCTGTCCCCCGTGTTTCTTCAAGTGTAAAAACCCTATGACCAATGGTACAAACGACTATTTTCTTCTGGACAGTCGTGACAAACGACCCCAACACCCCACCCTCATCCACGGGAAATAACACACTTCCAACCTGTCAACGAGTCGCGTCAAATTGCACCTGATGTCCCTAACGAGCCAATCAGCAAACAAACACCAGTCACGTGGGCTCGCAACCCACCAATCAAAACGCTATCAAGCCGGAACATAAACGCCATTCAAACCTTGTAGATTACAGCTTTTACGGGCCGCCTCTGACCAATGAAACGCGACTCCCCTCGTCGCAAGAGTGGCCAATCAAAGACGCTTGTTGTTGTAATTTGTCCAATCGCTGGCCGTTTATCACCGCGCGAAGCGACAATGCAAATAAGCAAGGGGACGCTACCCGGGGCTACTCAGGGGAGCTCACCGGGGGCAATTAACTTAAGGGGAGGTAACAAACAAAGATGGAGGGAGAGAGTTGTCCCGGACTGCTAGACGCTAGAGGAAGGTTTTCTTGAAATGGCGAGGTGGACGTGTTGGTCATCGGGACGGGTGAGGGGAGGAGGAGAAGGGATGAGGGGAGGAGAAAGGGGGAGGGGGAGGGGGAGGAGGTGAGAAGAGGAGTGGGAGGGGAAAGAAGGGAAAGAGGAGTAAAGTGAGGAGGAGTCGGAGAAGAGAGATTAGGAAGGGAGGGAGGAGAAGGAGGGATAGGAGAAAGGGCAGGGAGGGGGAAAGGAGCAGAATGAGCAAGAGAAAGAGGAGGAAGAGGAGGGGGAGGAGGAGGAATGCGGAGAAGGGTGCGGTGGGATGAGGAGCAGAATGAGCAGAATGAGCAGGAGAAAGAAAAGTAGTAAAACGACCGATGGGAGACCAGGTAGTTATATAGTGGAGAGCTGAGACGTAGTAATGATGGTGCGTGGGGTAGGGAGGACTTGATAGATGGACTTGATAGATAGACTTGTTAGATAGACTTGATAGATGGACTTGATAGATAGACTTGATAGATAGACTTGATAGATGGATTTGTTCTTTCATTGAGAGAGCCCACCCGACAATGAGGTCTGTTCCTTCTTATCCTTCTTACATCCTAACAAACATCTATTGTCCATGTTTCTTTTTCATTCTCTCTCTGTCTCTTTCTCTCACCCC